GATTTATTCAATAAGAGCAGGTTTCTTCTGTAGCAAATTCGAAATATGAAAGAAAAAAGCTTTTATATCCAAAAGGAGAAAAAGTGGAGCAGGTGTCAACCATGATCAAAAAGGCAAATAATCCTTTTTTTCAGTCTATTTTTATTCTATATACATTTGCTGTCACACGATCCATTACAATAAGCATTTATTTTTTCTCTTCATTACTCAAAATGTCTTTAGGGTTTTTCTAACTTTCTATGAAACTAGATGTAATCGTATTTGTACTACATTTTTATATCGTGCATAAGCCTTCCAAAATTCTTGTTTGTATACTTTAGATGGAAGAACAAACACCACGAAAGTAAGCACAGATGGCATGAATGAGATAAAATATCCAATCAAAAATAACCATGGATCATTAATTGACTTCATACAACGTGAAATAAGAGAAATGATCAAACGTGGAATAGCTAAAATGACCAAAAGAATTGGAGTGATCAGTAGATGACTGTGTTCTTGAAATTGTTTTTGTAACATTTTTCGAAAACTTTCATTAGCTCGTACAGTTGTTCGCCGTCGAGTGGTCATTATAATAATGACTAAACCCGAAATCAAATTAATAATAAATGGGGTTAAAAAATGAAATATATTTAGCACTGTATTAAACGTTTGAAGATTGGATGAATAAGTAACAATACACCAAATTCTTTTCTCGTCATCATCATTATCATCATCTATCAAACGTCGATGAATAGGATCATGAATAGTTGTACTAATATTCAAAATTAGAAGAATAAGAATAATATATTTAGCCATTTGTTTACTCTTCTTTCTATCAAAACTGATTCCTTTTATTGCGGTAACTGTTCGCTCTACAGCTACACATGCAGATAACCATTGATCCATATTAAAACCGATCCGTAGCACAAAATCTATTGAAGTACATTGTAATCGTAGGAATAAACGATTCGTAATGTATGTCATTTGTGCAATGATAAGTATGGAAAATTTCAATGCAAACATAAGCATTGTAAATAGACTAGTGATCGATGTACTTATTAGATAAATACCACAACCAATTTTACGTGGTTCTTTATTATTAATTGCAATCATCAATAGAGTACTATTGATCAATCCTGCTACAGTCATAATGATCGTCAATACTATACTTAATTGTACAACAAGGGTTTGATGTCTGATGATAATATGTGGTTGAATATGATAACCTAAAATTGCATCAAGCGAAAGACCAAATCCATGTGAACTAAATTGGCAACGTCTTCCATAAAAACATGTTTGACAAGCACATGTCGATGTTTGTGGACATGTAGATCTATCTTGTAAACATTGTGCTCCATTTTCACAATTACTTTGACCAAAACAATCGAATTTCTTTGTATAATTAAATTCAAAACAGTTGGCTACACGGTGTTGCCCATAATCGTCACATAAACAAAAATAATTGTCATCATAAAAACAAGATACTGGTGGTAAATGTCTTTCACATGGTAAATGGTAATATTTAATACGACGAAGAAGATGAAATTTAACAGCTGCATGATCCAATACTTCATTTATATATGGACAACGATCTGATGGTTGAATTTCTCGAACAATGGTTGTTGATGGATGGTAGCTCTTTTGAACAGTGATTAAATAGTAGTTTTTATCGAAAAGTTGAATAAAAACAATGTGAAATGGGTATGACCAATGGATCACCAATGCTTTTTGATTTATAGGAATCATTTTGAAAGTACTACCATTTGTAGGTGGAGCACCGTCTATCACTTGAATGAAATGAACCAGTAACGAGGATGGTAAAATCATGTCTTGACGAAATGATATAATGATTTTAGTATCAGCTATTTCACATCTGTCTCCAGTGAAACCTTTTTGACAGATACATTTAAATTTCTTGTTAGATATTATATGCTCATTAGTAGGCATACATTGACCACCATTGTAACATGTAGTATTTTGATTAGAGTGACATATTGTACTTCGAAATAAACATCGAGAACCCCACTTATTCATAGGACAAACACATAAAGATCGGTTGTTCGCTAAGATACCAATACATAATGAGTCAGGGGAACATGTGCAGTGATGAGAGATGGTACAGTATCGTCCAGACCATCCTCGATAACATTGACAAAAAGTAATACCTTTCGGATTGTCTGAATATTTAATACATTGACCATGAACACATTGTTGACTTGAACAACTTTCCACATCATCAGTTGTGCGTGGAATGTTGAGTTGAACAGCGACACGATGTACAGGTAAAAAAGAAAACTTAAGTGGTAATAAAAAACTTCTTCGATATGCGAGTGATATTTTTTCATAGATATCAATATGTATTGAATAATGTTTTTTTCGATCTTTTGGCCTAGTTGAATATAGTAAATACATATTGAATTTAATTGTACAATCTCGTATGTACAAATAACTAAATTGTTGGTGCGTATGAATGATTCTTTCATTACTATCATCAATGAGTAAGACAACAACAGCAAATAGAGTTCGTCGAGAATCAGAATATGTTTGAAATTGCAAAGTGAGACTAATTCGTTGGTTTTGATATTGACACATATTTCCATAAAAACTGGATGGACAAAGACATGCGTCAGTCGTTAAGTTTTTTTCATAATCTAGCCAAACTCTAACAACAAGACCACGATGACAACGTTGTTGGTGTTGAAGAGCGATTTGTCGAGTAATAGATGAATGTGAACTTACTACTTTTGTGTTTTGTTTCGTTATTTGTTCGATTGAGTTGTTAATTCTATCCAATGAAAAATATCTGATGGGTGATTTACTGATATCGATTGGTCTTTTACAAAAATAATTTGCAATCTCAGAACGAACAGTTGCATATTCGTCATTACATATACTAAAGTAGCCAATATTGTTCAGAGTATTGTCACAAATTTTATCATAATCTGTGTCATTGCATTCTCTATCAAAACATAAAGATATATAAGACGTACAATATTCATGTTTCCCATCAGTGCAGTAAATGTTAACAGTGCTGAGTTCATGATTATCTGATCGACATAGTTGTGGCTCATCAGTGGCGCCAAGGCAATTAATATTGCCATCATTGACTTGTGTGAGAGACAAACACATGAATTGGTATGTGTTAGGTGAGACACAAATATGATGATGAAGCGGACATTTCAATATTGGTGATTGGTCACAATCTACTTCATCTGCTCCATTGAAACAATTCCAAAATCCATCACATCGAGTATAAGTGTTATTACATTGCCAGTATTCACATTCGGTTTCATCGGTTTCATTTCGTCCATCGATAGTAACAGGTATTAGTTCTGTAAAACCATCACAAATTGTTGGAAATGAAATACGTGGTCTGAAATAGTTAAGGTTTAGCTCTTCATCATCACACAAATTATATTCATTCAATCCACAATGGCACAAATTATCTTCTATGAATAATGGAGGGATACAAAGATCTATTGTGGAACATTTCAAATGGTTTTGCGATCCATACATCGAACAAGAACCATGAATCGAAGAACATTGTTCGTCATCTTTATAATCACAATCGTTTATACCGTCACAAAGGCGATGCTTGGAAATACATTTTGAGGAATTGAGACATCTGTACATAATTGAACTATTACAACTTGTAAAACCTCCATGAATGAGTGTGTTGCATTGATAAAGCTGTTGATACAAAGGTAAGACATAGGTATTAATCCAGTCACCTCTAGTGAAGCCAAACGCCTTAAAAGTTAATGGAAAATCTGTGGGACGGCGACATGTATTATTATCGAATGACAATATCGTTCGGTTCGAATAAAATTCGCCACAAAGTTGATCATTGTAGCAGACATACTGAGGTGGTAGAGTTCTCTGATAAGGCCTTAGCATACTTTCTTTTGTATATAAAAAGTACATATGACCAAAAGCGACAGGACTAGCTGGCACATACAACATATCAGGACATGTCATGTTAATTATTTCTGTCCACGTTTTCTTGAAAAACCGCTTACGACATCTTAGATCGGATAATGAATCTTGAATACCCAATTGACACTGAACAGCTAACCAACAATCATTCGACACTGTATTTGACTTCTCAGAGAACAAGAACTGCTGTAGTAAAGAGGAGCGTTGAAACACACATGAACTTGTTAGCTTCATAAAGATATGGCTATGACGAATGGAACATTTAATATCTTCCATTGTAAATGTAGGTTCACCGCTAATATTCATAAAGAGTCTTTTATGAAAGAACTTTCTGTCTGATCGATCAAGACATTCAAAACCATTAGGATCATCATGAAAAAATGTCTTAGATATGCATTGTCCATTTAGACATCGAACTTCATTATCTTCGCATTCATTGATTTCAACTTGCCAACAAGATTCTTCATCGACTCCATTTCGACAATCAATGACTCCATCACATATTTCACTCCAATCAAGACATGCAAATAGTGAACCGCGATCACATTGTAAGTGAGTATAACATGTCAATGTTGTTGGTTCATATTCGTATAGATAATATTCACGAATAATCTCGTTTACAGTTAAATGATGATACTTGTAAGCATCCAATGAATATTGACACAATGGACCAAATCTGGGTGACGTACAATTATAGAACATATAAGTTGCCATTGATGATGATGACGTATTTGAAGTTAACAACAGATTTAAATAAAATTGATAATGTTCAACTACATCCATTGGTGCCGACCAAAAATATAATTGTTCACTAGTAATATTTAACATGTAGAGCACAACAAAAGTAAAGTTTTGATCTTGATTATTTTTTTGAAACTTCCATTTTGATGGCCATTCACTCATACAATAAGAAATGATCTGATAAGGATCATTTTCTTCTTCAATCCAAGCAGCAACATGAAGACAATCGTGTTGTAGAACAATATTACTTTCATTATCATTTGTCCAGTCGGTGAGATCAAGATTAATTTGAGGAAACGCAATTATTCTATACAATAGAATGAAATAGCATAAGTAACTGATGAATGACCTCATCTGATTTTTTAGAGACTTAATATGAATGCAGTATTAAGAGTTCATTTTTATTCTCTCCATCTTTCTATTTTTTTTCCAAAAAGCTAATTTACAATATTTTTTCCCTAACAAAGTATATAGTAAATATGAAACAAAGTAGTTTGTTCCTGCACTCTGAATCAGAGATTACAAGGATGTTTTTTTTCTGTCAAATAATCGTATAAAATCATGATTTACATCTGCCAGCACTCTTTCTGGAACTAAATTAGAGATATGAGTTCAACGCATGAATTTAACGACGCATTTATATTTTTGATGTTGTTTTAGTTATAAATATCTCAACGGATATTTTCAATTAGTCGTTAATGCTGTCCTAGTCCATTCTTCTTTGCAGAGTCTTTGGTGAGTCGCTTGAAGAAAGCGAAATTACTGGGGAATCTCTAGAGAGGGTGTGCATGGAGTGTGGATGTGGGTGTGGCTGCCCAGGACGACAGATCCGACTGTCGGATATCATCGGATCCTATTGAAAAAACTATCGAAAAAACTAACGGATTTTATTGAATGCGATAGTAATTCGTCGGACATTGTCGGAATCATTGGTATCGGATTCCGACAGAAAGTTGTCGGATGTCGGAATGACCGCGATTCCTGTAGCAGTATTCCGTAAATTACCAGAGAAAACTCGCAGAAAACACCGTTTCCGGCTGGAACCCGCGGGAAAATATCAGGAATTCGACGCAAGAATCCGGTGACCGCATTCAGCTGCCGGTTTTGCGAAGTTCCTGTCGGTTCCACTCGGAACCGGATAAATTCGGTCACCGAATCCGTTCATTGAATACTGCTTTCATGTTCCGTCGATTTCCGCTGTTCTTCTGCGGGAACTGACCCGTACTTCTCGATCTGGATGTGGTTGTGGGACCCAGGTCGAGAAGTACGGGGTCGGTTCTCGCAGGAAAACAGCAGAAATCGACGGAACATGGTAACAGTATTCAGTGAACGGATCCGATGACCGGATTTATCCGGTTCCGAGTGGAACCGACAGAAACCTGACCAAATTGGCAGCCGAATACGGTCCCCAGGAGGATGATTCCGGCATCCGAATACTGCAGGAACCGGCAGGAAGGGTGCGGGTACCCTCTTTTCTAGCTCACACGCATACCCCTCGACTCGGAAAAACTCCGAAAATTTTTTTGTAGCTTAGTGGTAAAATTGGGTCAATACCAGAGATGTCCATCGCGCCGCTGCCGCTGCCTTGCCGCTGCCGCCGTGGCGGTGGCGGCGCGGCAGCGGCAGATGTTTTCCAAAAACTATCGCAGCGCGGCAGCAGCGCGGTAGCGGCGTGGGAGAGATTTTTATTTTGCCGTCGCGGCAGCGGCGCGGCGGCGGCAGCTTTTTAGGAAAAAATTTCAAAAATTCATGAATTTGCACAGAATCTCCATGTTTATGTATACTATACTGTAAGACTTAGCGAATCTGATCGATTGGCGGCATCAGTTCTATTTCAAACCAGTCAAAGCCTTGAAAATCAAAACATTTTTTCGAATACTAGCGCGGCAGCGGCACGGTAGCTTTTTTTAACAGGCCACCGCGTCGCAGAAGCGGCGCGGCAGCTTTGTTTGATTTTGGCCGCGGCGCGGCAGCGGCAGATTTTGAGCCGCGATGGACATCTCTAGTCAATACTTGATATCCTAAAGGGGTAAAAGAAGTGAGCAATTTAGTAGGAAAAAGAACAGTTTATATTGTCGTAGAATTTATCTTTTCAAGTTTTCTTGCGAAATGACAAAAAAATTATGAGTAAGAAGGTTTTAACAAAAGAGTACTTAAAAAATGAATACAAGATGGTGTTCCATTACTAAAACTTGTTGAAAGCAAGAAAACACAGCAGTGGACAATTGAACCAGTCGATGGGGGAAGTTGTTCCACTTTATGGGGAAATGCTTCACCCCACATAAAGTCATACATATCAAGGAGAAATAGAAAGAAAGAATAAAAAAATTATATATACATATGTACATATATACATATAATCTATTATATGATGTTGCACATATTCTTCAATTTAGAGAGAAATGGTTTTTCTTTCAAAGGAAAATGGTTCAACAAGGAGAAGTGGAAAGAAACAATAAAAGTTGACGGATATGGGTAGGGGACGGGTAAGAACTTGACGGGTACGGATAGGGTACGGGTACAAAATTCACTGGTATGAGTAATGCAGATAAGGTACGAAGCTTGGTACTTATGTAATACTCTATGTAAAAATTAACGTTTTGAGAGAAACAAGCTTCTTTTTTAACAGAGCAGTTGCTGTTTAATCGCAAGATCTTGGATCACCTAGACGATTGATCGTTCGATAATGCTATCGGCGATGTATTTGTCATAGATCGTTCAGGGAAAAGGATAAATACGTATATTCCGGCGGCTACAGCTACAATGCGGACACTTTTTTTAACCAATTAAGGTAAAATGTCCGCAAAGCAGAATCAGGGGGTATAGACAAAAATGACCGCATTTTGAAAATTGTCCGCAAAGCAGAATCGAGGCACAGAATGAAAATGTCCGCATTATAGAATCAAGAAAAAATTTATTATGTGAGGAAAGAGAAAGATACAAGTAGTACGAGATGATTCAACATTCAACTATGCTTTGGTTCATAATCTTCGTCATCTTTGTCAGATGTATCAAATATGTGAATGTATCGGTAACAAAGAGAACGTAGTCTTTTTTGATAATCATCTAAATCTAGTAGACCATTTAAATAATCTTTTGTTGCTTGTACTAAAATATTTTCATTATTAACTGAAGTTAACCTTTTTGGACGAGTTGTTCGTTGTTGTGCGTGTTCCTGTTCTAATCGAATCATTACTGATTAGCGTCGATAGAATCGATTTGTCTGTACTAATTTTCTTACTATTTCTACTTTTTTTTTGATTCTATAATGCGGACATTTTCATTCTCTGCCTCGATTCTGCTTTGCGGACAATTTTCAAAATGCGGACATTTTTGTCTATACCCCCTGATTCTACTTTGCGGACATATTTTTCCTCCAATTAAGAAAAATTGCCCGCAATCAAGGAGACACGATTCCAGCTCGTTCAGCAACTAGCGAAAGAATGTTTAGCGAGACTGGGCGAACACTAGAGACTTGACGGCGATTATTAAGTCCTGCCTCATTCGATGCTTTTGTATTTCTTCGTAACTGTTTGTGATTGTCATCAAAATATTATCATTTCATTATTATTGGATCAAGCTAAATAAAATTGTGAATTTATATTGTCTATTGCGCTCATGGGTACAGTAATAATAAGTTTAATTTTCAAGGGGGTCAGTACAGGCACCCAGCACCTGCTCAGCACCTACCAGCACCTATACCGCATTTCACTATGAGCACCTACGGTACCTTCAGCATCTTCAATCATTGTTCCATTATCTTAAGTCCTTTTTCAACACCTTGCGATAAAATTTAGTGTTTAGGCTCTGCCCTTTAAATTTTATCACAAGGTGCTGAAAAAGGACTTAAGATAATGGAAGAGTGGTTGAAGGTGCTGAAAGTGCTGAAAGTGCCGTACGTGCTCATAGTGAAATGCGGTATAGGTGCTGTAGGTACTGGGCAGGTGCTAGGTGCCTGCACTTTTCCCCTTGTTAATTTCAGATATTAGGAGTGCGAGATCAGATAGGAAAAGATTTTAGAATATTGGAACCCACGGGTCGGGTGCGGATACCTTTACACGAACGGGCTACAGGTAGGGTCGGGTACGGGTAGGGCACGGATAAAAATTTTTTTGTCGGGTCGAATACGGGTATGAAAAGTTGTACCCGTGCAGTACTCTATTTAGGATTTTTATGATAGGCGCGGTTTAGCAAAAAAGTGGGCAATCATGATCATAAAACGTGTTTTGAAGCTCATTAAAAGTACTATTAGCTTATTCTAAAGCCTTTCCTATTAGAAAAAAGCGAGGAAAATCTTATAGAAGGTAGGGAATCGTTCGCAACAATTCACTACTCTGTTTGATATTCTATTTTTTCACAACAGCAGGGCATTTTTTTTTTCTTTGTTATCGTCCTGTCAACACGTGAGGTATAGGGAAAGCTTGCTTTTTATGCATCCAGCTCGTGACAATAGAGAATAGACTTCCCTGTTTAACAAGTGTTATTCTTTTGTTCCATTGTATAGTTCATTTTCAGCATGAAACAGATTTATTGCTCAAAAAATTCCGTTTTCTTATCTGACAGTCAATTCATAGCAAAGAAAAAGTATTATTCTTAATAAAATATATGAGCTAAGTTTTCTTTAAAATACATATTTCTTAACATAGGGATATTAATCTCCAAGTAATATAGCGACTTTGTACCGATAGAAGACAGACATTCTTTACTGTGCATATACATGTATTCTTTTTTCGTTAAATACTCAATTCTTGACACAAGAAAGATATCTCGCATTTAATATCTATAAAGTTTTTTCCGTGAAATGAACAGTTCTTAGTGGTAGACGTTTAGAAACTTCTTATCTCATACGAGTCTTTTTGGCTTTTATCTCATATTCAGTTATACATATAGAAAGATATTCTATAGTTTATATAAATATGTTACATTGTATTAAATTTTCAGTTTCAAATGAGTCTAAAATCATTCTTTTATCAATTGATTTTTTTTTCATAATGTCGACTGTAGAATTGGTGTAGTAAGCTTTACATAAGATCTAACAGTAATATTTCTACCATCTAATTACTATCTTCTTTCTGCTCTAATTTCATAGAAGTATACTGTGTTATTAGGGTTCAAAATAAATGTGAAAAAATACAATAACAATTATTTAAGATAAATTTTTTCAGAATTTCTTCAAAGCATATCCTTAGTTGTCTAGTACGTTACATTTACTATGCACACTATTCTGGTCAATAAAACAATAATGCTTTTCGAGATGTCTACAAACCTCATAGCAGGACATGTCTTACGAGAAATATAAAGTATTGTATAAATATGTGTTAAGTTTTTTAAAGTCCAATTTCATGCAACAAATGACATGTTTGTTCTGCTTGAAAAAAGTTTAAATAAAAAGTTTGACAAATCATTAGGACAGATAGATCTTTGTATTAATAATTATGAACATTTAATAAAATGAAATTAAAACATCTCTTTATTTTTATCAAGTGTTCCCAGAAATTTCAGTCAGCAGCAAGAAATAAAAATGATTTGCTATGGGTTTCTTTTCTTTGGATATTCAGAACTTGAATGTAGTGAAAACCTTGTTGACTGTGAGAATAAGAAATGTAAAATAAAGAATTTCAGGTTTATTTTTCATGTCTTTAGGAATAACATTGAAATGGAACAAATTTTCAAACACTTGTTTTGATTATGATGAAACAAAAAACGAAGATTAAGATTTACCTTTCTTCATTAATTTTTTAAGAATAAAAAGTATAAAATCCAATGTCAAAGCTACTGATATAAAACTTTGAAATACTTTATTTACTCAATATAGATTTTCACAAGTCTCTTATGACAAGTATTATGAGACGATTAACAGGATGGCACTTCGATAAAGTGTATGACAGCTTCTAGTTTAATGAATTAGAAGAATTGATGCAAAAAATTTTACTTAATCAATTCTTCTCATGTGAACTAAATGTCATGGTGAGCTCTTTTCATATGAGAATAAATTATTAATTGAACAGTTGATTTTATCTTAGCATCAAGTTTCTAACAGCTTCATTTCAGTATATTTGAAGATTGGGATTTGAGATTAATAAGTTAGTTAATTGAAACCAGTTAAAATATTTAGATGGAAAATATCACACGTTGCAGGCTTCATTTCAACTTCTTGATAATTTATATAATATTCACATTTTCTCTCATTCGATAATTAAAAGTCAAACAATAATGCTTCCAATTTTTCTTACGAGGAAAGTCCTAAAAGGGATAAATTTCTTTTGAATCAAGACCATGTACATTTTATATCCATAGGTTATTACTGTGGAGATCCCGCCCTTTTATAGTATCTATTAAATGAACGTCAAGGTAATAAAAAATAAATGTGGAAACCTCGAACTTAAGTCCGAGAGTTATGTGTACTTCAAAAAGTGAATGAGACAAATAAGTCATCCTAGAATGTGTGGATATACAAATTAGCTTGGTAAACCTTTTCTATAAATACTTGAATTCTATTGACTACTGCTCAACCAATAGGATTTGGGGGCGAATACAGCTCAGATTTGAACTCTTCGCCTTAATTTACCCTCAGAAAGTCGCTTTTTCTATAACTTGATTTCTATTGGTCAGTGCTCAACCAATAGGGCTTCGAAACAAGTGGAGTACAGATTCGAGTTCTCCACTCCAGAAAACCTTCAAGCATCACCTCTTATCGGAAGATAGTGCTATCATTGTGGATCAGTTAGAGCGTGGACAAGAACAGAACCCAGTTCCGTTTATTTATCTTTGCAATAAGTGAGCTAGCCTTCTTGTTTCTTTATGTTTTATATATCATTTTGTAGCTCGTAAAATTCTCTATCGAATGGTATATAATAGTTGGGGTTTTGTTTGAGTATGATAGGAAAAGTTTTTTACGAAAGCGGGGATGGGTCGATTTTCGCATAGGAAGCCATAGGAAAAAATGAGTATTTTTGCAATAACTCAGGAATGGTTCGGCCAATTCTTCTCATCTTCGAACTCAACCGAGACATTCTTAAGACTGAACTATGTAGAAAATTTCATCGCGATTGGACTCTTCTTTCAAAAGTTATCGTGTAAACAGACGGCCGGACACACTGACCGATTCTAGAGTGTACTCACTTTTTGAGTACACAAAAACGATTTTCAAGTTTTGACTTGAAACTCTTGATAGAGAAAGACCTTAACGAGAGTAGTTACAGGTCTTTCGCTTTGCTTTTATTCTGAAATAAGAATACTAAAGGTATCATTATATATAAGTGATGTAAAAAACACACTATTATCACACTTGTATTTTGCTATTGAATTAGTGATAAAATCAGAATCATTCTGAGGAAATTATTTTCTGTCTCTATTTGAAGTTTCAAGTCGACACTTGAAAATAGTTTTTCTGTTACCATGGTATTCATCTAAAAAGTACTGTAAAAGTACAGAATCTTCGCAGAAAAATCCTCACAACATGAACTCTTTTCAGAGTATTCATAGTTCATGTGATTCTATATAAAGCACCTAGCCTTGGCTCAAAAGTAATTTTATAATTGACTTTTTGACAATCGATCTGTACGCTCAACGTCAGAGAATATATATTCCAGTTTCTGACATAAGTTCTTTTATTTCTTAAGAAGATGACGTAATACAATATTCATCATGATGTTATTTTCTCATTTCATGTTTATTATCAAAGACAAAAATGACTAATATGACGTAAATTAATGAAAATATTATTTTATATTTGATTGATTGAACAAAAGAAAAAAAGAAGAAGTCATGCAAACAAAAGTACCGTTCATAAGTAACATACTAGTCACAGGAACATCGTCTTGTTGAGAATAATTAGTTTCTTTGTTTTTTTTTTCTTTCTTATATCTCTATTTATTAATAAACTTCCGCCTCTTCAAATTGTGAATCATAGTATTTCTCTTGAAATAAATTAACATGATTCTCTGTTTTATGCATTTGTCAAAGTATGGAATTGACATTATATTACATTGGCACATAAGTTCTGCACGTTTTTTTTTCGTGTTTTAGGCAACTTTCGAGCTTTATATCTCGTGATTAGAAAGTGATAGAGGTGTGAAATTTTTAAAGCAGACAGAAATCATACAGACCTATTTATACTAAAAATTTCAGACCTCTACCGTATTCTAATCATGAGATATAAAACCTGAAAATTGCCTAAAACATAAAAAAAACGTGCAGAACTTATGTGCCAATGTAATAATTACTGTGTCATTTTTGACAATTTTTGTTCTTCTATCTAACAGACGATGTCTCTTCTATTCTGAGCTTCATTTAGACAAGATATAAGATGCTTCAATAAGTGCATGGAAATGCCATAAAGACTATAACAGTTATCTATATTAAGTAATTAATCAACATTAGTTGTATCTGCTTGTCGAGAAAGAACGAGAAAATAAAATTATTTCCATTATAGATATATACATATATATTTATATATATTAAATAAAGAAAAACTTGATAAACATCTTACTCATACATCTAATATAATAGAAATGGTTCGAAATCATCATTTTATTATTCTAAGTATTATTGTAAATGTACTTCTAATTCTTTTATCGAAATGTAATTCTTATCCATTATTTAATGATTTACCAAGTATGTATTTAATTGATTTTAAATGTTTAAATAAATAGATGAACGATGTATTTTTTGTTTTTTGACTTATTGATTTCAGTACCAGAACGTCCTACAAAATTTCATTCACAAAATTCTGCAGATCGATATTTAA